ACCGGAAATTCCAGCTTTCGTCGCTTCCTCATTCATCCGAGATAAAACTGTATGGCGCACGGATGGAATTAGTTTCATGGGGATTTTTCGGTTTAGATAATAGAATCACGGGGGGTATTGTCACCTAGAGTGTCGATTGTCATGAAAATATCGATCAAGGGGCTTATTTGGGTTTAAAGATTTTTTTATGGCGTTTTTAATTGTATGGAGATGAGGCGGTCGGGGCTGGAGTGTTTCTGAGCGTTGAAGACTGGTTGCAGGGAGTGAGAATTTATTTGAATGAAGGGAATGATTGTCACATATATTGTATTTTGAGTGTGGCAGAAGCCCTTGCATAATCATTAATTTTGTAAAACCAATATATCTGAGTCTCTACGGTAAGAGATTATGCAGTACCTGAAGTAAATAATTGTGGGATGACAATTCCAAAATCGAATTTTTCCGCCAAGTAAGGGTTGATTCTGCATCTCCTCGCGATTCTGATGCCAATAAAACCCTTGGAGGTGGAGAAAAGGTCGAAATGAAAAATTTTTTTTTTACCCGGGGCCAAAGTGTCAGATCTTGGATTTTTGCCGGGGGAAAGTCGACTTTCGCCAAAATCTAATTTTTTCGCCAAGTAAGGGTTGATTCTGCATCTACTCGCGATTCTGATGCCAATAAAACCCTTGGAGGTGGAGAAAAGGTCGAAATGAAAAATTTTTTTTTTACCCGGGGCCAAAGTGTCAGATCTTGGATTTTTGCCGGGGGAAAGTCGACTTTCGCCAAAATCGAATTTTTCCGCCAAGTGAGGGTTGATTCTGCATCTACTCGCGATTCTGATTCCAATGGTATCCTTAGAGGTGGGGAAAAGGTCGAAATAAAAAAAAAATTTCACCCGGGGCCAATGTGTCAGATCTTGGATTTTTGTCGGGGGAAAGTCGACTTTCGCCAAAATCGAATTTTTTCGCCAAGTAAGGGTTGATTCTGCATCTACTCGCGATTCTGATTCCAATGGTATCCTTAGAGGTGGGGAAAAGGTCGAAATAAAAAAAAAAAATTTCACCCGGGGCCAATGTGTCAGATCTTGGATTTTTGTCGGGGGAAAGTCGACTTTCGCCAAAATCGAATTTTTTCGCCAAGTAAGGGTTGATTCTGCATCTACTCGCGATTCTGATACCAATAAAACCCTTGGAGGTGGGGAAAAGGTCGAAATGAAAAAATTTTTTTTTCACCCGGGGCCAAAGTGTCAGATCTTGGGTTTTTGCCGGGGGAAAGTCGACTTTCGCCAAAATCGAATTTTTCCGCCAAGTGAGGGTTGATTCTGCATCTACTCGCGATTCTGATTCCAATGGTACCCTTAGAGGTGGGGAAAAGGTCGAAATGAAAAAATTTTTTTTTCACCCGGGGCCAATGTGTCAGATCTTGGGTTTTTACCGGGGGAAAGTCGACTTTCGCCAAAATCGAATTTTTCCGCCAAGTGAGGGTTGATTCTGCATCTACTCGCGATTCTGATGCCAATAAAACCCTTGGAGGTGGGGAAAAGGTCGAAATGAAAAAATTTTTTTTTCACCCGGGGCCAATGTGTCAGATCTTGGGTTTTTACCGGGGGAAAGTCGACTTTCGCCAAAATCGAATTTTTCCGCCAAGTGAGGGTTGATTCTGCATCTACTCGCGATTCTGATGCCAATAAAATCCTTGGAAGTGGGGAAAAGGTCGAAATGAAAAAAATTTTTTTTCACCCGGGGCCAAAGTGTCAGATCTTGGATTTTTACCGGGGGAAAGTCGACTTTCGCCAAAATCGAATTTTTCCGCCAAGTGAGGGTTGATTCTGCATCTACTCGCGATTCTGATCCCAATGGTACCCTTAGAGGTGGGGAAAAGGTCGAAATAAAAAAAAAATTTTCATCCGGGGCCAATGTGTCAGATCTTGGATTTTTGCCGGGGGAAAGTCGACTTTCGCCAAAATCGAATTTTTACGCCAAGTGAGAGTTGATTCTGCATCTACTCGCGATTCTGATGCCAATAAACCCCTTGGAGGTGGGGAAAAGGTCGAAATGAAAAAAATTTTTTTTCACCCGGAGCCAACGTGTCAGATCTTGGATTTTTACCGGGGGAAAGTCGACTTTCGCCAAAATCGAATTTTTACGCCAAGTGAGAGTTGATTCTGCATCTACTCGCGATTCTGATGCCACTGATACCCTTAGAGGTGGGGAAAAGGTCGAAATAAAAAAAAAAAAATTTCACCCGGGGCCAAAGTGTCAGATTTTGGATTTTTGCCGGGGGAAAGTCGACTTTCGCTAAAATCGAATTTTTTCGAAAAGTGAGGGTTGATTCTGCATCTACTCCCGATTCTGATGCCAATGAAACCCTTGGAGACGCCAGAAATGTCGAGATGAAAAATTTTAATTTTCACTAATAATTTACTTTATAAATCCCATGGAAATTATAAGTGTTTATTGGACAAAGATATGCACTACTTAATAACATTCACTTGATAAGAAGGGAGCCGAATATAATCAAAACAACCGATGATTTTGCAGCACTCGTGGCATTATTACTGAACATTTCAGAGAAGAAGTGAATACGTGAGTTATATCATATACTATACGGAAGTTTCAAATAAATTAATCATAAAAATTTAAATATTATTACTGCAAATCTCAAGAGCTAAAAGAGCAAAAGAAATAAGGAAGTTGATCTTTGAAACTAGTCAAATCCTGCATTTTCAATTTGAGCTTCATTTTCTCTCTTCGAATGCGAACGGTACATTTCCATGTCCCGAAGGACAGAATGTGTTCCACCTAATGTGCCACATGAAAATTCAAAGACACATTCACCCTCCTCAAAGGACCATCCAGTGACATCTGGTCTTCCTTAATGCATTTTCAAGAGCCATCTATTTTCAACAAATTATTCCAGAATCCTACGAGAAAAAAAACGCGGAAAAAAATTGTTGAGCAAGTTTCACTGCAAGGAAAACATTGCGAGTTATCTCGGAAATTAAACACCAGTGAGCAAGATCGTTTTGGGGATCATTAATTATACCTACCACGAGTCTGTGAGAAAACCGGGGAGAAAAAGAGATGAACAAAGTGTGAATGCCAAGGGAAAAAGATAAGCGTTATTTGGTTTTGAGAAAGAAGGATGAGAGAGCTCAAAGAGGGAAGCTAGATGTCGCCACTACGAACAGAATTGCTTTTCAAAGATTAATGACTTTATGCTTCATTATCGCTCGGATGTTTATAATTCCACGCCTCTTTACCCTGATCAAATTTCACAATTGTCGATTCATTTTGAGTCCTCTTAATTCCTCAACTTTAATTCGTTTAGAAAGTTTCAGATTGGGGGAGTCTATTTCATTCGGCATTTCCTTATCGACCCACGCATATATTTATAATGGCTGCCAGAACGAGACCGATCTTGATCGAGGGATACTTATTATTGTGAGGAAGATTAATGATCCCACATTATTTGCCTCGCAATTCGATACGTCGAATTTGCGTACGGCGCGGCGTTATTGATGACATGTAGGATTTTTTTTTCAACTCACCAATTCTAAAAATGTCATTTCGAATCCGCGTATCCCTGCAATGCTGTAATCGTCGATGATTTGAGGCGCTGAATGATGACTCGTGTTTTTTTACTCTGAAAAAAAAAAGTTGAAATTGAACAGTTATAGGAACAGGAATTTTTAGCATTGAGTGCTGCGAAACTTGATATTTGTGCCGCCTTCTGTTGTTTTATTAAAAATGCACATGAAATGATCACGTAACAGCTTTTATTTCACGAATAAAATAAAAAAAAACATCAATAGTCATATTCAATGTTGTAAAAGTGACATAAAAGTCCCAACTCCTTACGTAGATGTGACTTTTAGAGGTCTTGAAATGGAATTTATGGAAGAATGAACATTGTGAGTGAGACGTGAAAGTTGGGTGAATTATCGCTGTTTCTTTTTAATTCGGCAATTTTGTAATGTGCGAAAATTATTCTGACCTAGTGCATTCCTAATGTGACATTAAAGGTATCATTCAGCGCGCGTTAATCCTTCGTTTGATGCGATTCTCGACATTAATACGCGCCCATTATCGCGTATCTATACGCGATATTATCGACTAAATTAAATGTATTTCTTACACTGTTATTAGAAATGTTTTGAAATTTCAAGTTTTAAGTAGAATTCACGGGAATTCATGAATTTTCAGTGGGGGTGAGATGAAAATTTCGCCACTTGATTGAATTTCCATTGGAACATGAATATTCAGAAATAAAATAACATGAATTTTCGAATTTTCCCCTAAATTTTCGTGATTTTTCTAAAATTTCACAGAATAATTGAACTAAAAAATCAAGTATTTTATTGATTTCCACATCATTTGAACAGAAAATCAATGCAATATTTAATTTTTCAATGACAAAATTTCCTGAAATTTCAGTGGAACTTGAACATGATAAAAATTTCCGAAATTTGGTACGGAAAATGCAGACGAAAATTTTTAACGGTATATCCGAATTTCAAAAATTCGCTGAAGAGCGTTAGCGGTGGAATCTCTCCTTTAAATACTTACTTGCCATCTGTCATTAGTTGAAATCAACTTCGAGCTGCAAGCTTGTCGGTAACTCCGCGCTCTCTCCATAAAGCCCGCATAGCATCTGTCAACAACAATAAATAAAAAATCCTTATCTTGATCGAGTTAACTAGATCATTAGAAGAAATCTTCAGAATTTTAACGGTTTAAAAATTAATCCCATTGAACGGTTGAATGAATAACTTTTGTTCTCAATGAAAATCAAACTCTGATCCTTTAATCAATGCAAACAAATTATTAAAAATTTTCCACTTCCAACAGTAGCTTATCAAAAAATGGATTAACGTTCGGCCAACAAATTAGATAACAGTAATGACATAATTAACGTATCATCAGTGAGTACTTCCTACCATCAACCGATAAAAGCTCCATCTTTCCCAGTAATTCAGTAATCAGCAAACACCCAATTGCAAACGGAAAACAACTCTATCTCTAACCTCCGATGACATTGTCACAAACAAATGGAAAAAAAAAGTTTAATTATCCGAGTCTTATCAACAGAGCTGAGAGGCATCGTGTGCTGTGTTCGCCGCACAGTAGTCTCAGTAGTTCGCAGTAGACGCCTACTTCCCGAACAATAAATCCCCTCAGTCCCAGCTGATTTGCAAGAGAAAAAAAACAAGACTCAAATTGTTTTCGTTCGTTCGTTATCATTAAATTTTTCTCGTACGTGTCACCGCAGCTGGCCTCCTGACGCACAGTGGACGAGCATGTCCTGTACGAGTGAGCTATCGCTATCTAAAGAATATCAGAGTTTTCGGAGCTCAGTTCCACTCCGAAAAATTGTTGTTGACAGCGATGGGGCTAAGGTATAAACAACAATTCAAATTTTCTTATCTTAATTGTGTTTTGCGCAGCGAAACATGCCACTTCGTAAATTGATATGACTTATTTATAGGGATGGAAAGTCTACGACTCCGGTCCGAAGACTATCAAATGTCCTCTCATATGTTTACCACCTGTCAGTGGTACCTCTGATATATTTTTCAAACAAATACTCAGTCTAGCTGCCAAAGGTTATCGAGTCATATCCGTAAGTTCTTGAATTTCCCTTTTATTGATTCAACGGGATGCGAGAATGAATATTGTGTTTTGAAAATAGAGTTTCATGTGAAATCGAACAATTACACTGAGAGGAAATGAATTGTTTTTTAAATAAGTTCCGTTTGAAGCAAAGAATTGCTAATTAAAAATGACAAAAAATGTAATACCGACCATTTGAAGCCTGTCCTGAAATCAACAATTTTTGTCGCTAAGTTTTGGTAGATTTAGTTGTTCCAAAAAATTGGCACTCCCTGTGCAAGCAAGAAATGCCATTTTTAACAGTATGTATTCGTTATTCGATACTCGTATACTTGTGGGAGTATCTGGTTCTTCGGGTTTGTTGTCGAGAACAGAGCGATCATTGATGTTTAAAGCCCGGTTGCACCGAGCCCATCAAAGAAAATCCTCGGTCAAAAGTATCGGAATAAATAAAAATAATCCGCCAATCAATTTTTATCGAAAGTTCATCGAAGGTATTTCTCCAAAGGACGTGGTGTATCGATGTATCACTATTTGCCAATAATATTATTAATTATGAATTATTTAGTGGATATTTATGACGAAATGGCTGAATGAAAGCACTCCACGACGAAATTCTAAAATTGTCTAACTGTGGAATAAACTTACTCCAGACATAAATTTATTCTGACGATTTATTTGGTTAATATCGCTTAGTGCAAAAAATCTGCGATTAATTATCGGAAGAAATAAAAATACTCCGCCAATCAATTTCGATCAAAAGTTCATCGAAGATATTTCACCAAAAGACGTGGTGTATCGATGTATCGTCGATATTTGCCAATAATAATGACTGAATGGAAGCACTCCAAGACAAAAATTTATTCTGACGATTTGCCTTTCAAATTCAAATAAAATGATTTCAAGTTTGGCAATTTTTAACTTTCGATCTTTTTATCCAAACAAGACTTGTTTGAGAATCAGTTTGTTTTTCTCTCAGTGCAGTATCAAGAAGCATAATTATTCAAGAATGTAAGGAAGATATCTTTAAATAATAAACAAGTTTGACTGATTATGAAATCAGTCTTTAACTTTGACTCTTCACTTTTCCGAGTGCTAATGAATCCTTTCATTCAGGCTGAACCACCAGTCTATTGGAGTGTCAAAGAATGGTGTGATGGATTCAGAAAACTATTGGATTATCTAGAGTTGGACAGGGTTCACCTTTTCGGAGCTTCCCTGGGTGAGGAATTATTTTGGTCAGCCCATCGATTTTCTCAAATTAGATGTCCACGTTTATCCAACTCAACTATATACGCTCGGTCTGAAATCCCATTCACATGTTAACGGAGCATATATGAGATTTGTATTATAATTTACAGGAGGTTTCCTAGCACAAAAATTCGCAGAGGTCAATTCTCATTGTCCTAGAGTTGAGTCTCTGGTGTTGTGTAACACCTTCACTGACACGACAGTTTTCAGTTACAATGATTCAGCCGCTATGTAAGACGCATTAATGACGATCTTCTGTATTAACTGGCATCAAGAGAGAACCAACAGTTCGTTAATTCTTCGTCTGAATTTTTCAGATTTTGGATATTACCGTCTTTAGTACTTAAGAAAATGCTGATGGGGAATTTTTCCACTGAAAAAGTCGACGGGGAAATGGTCGACGCTATTGACTTTATGGTGGAACGAGTAAGTGAATTTTAAAGTAGCTCTGCCATTTCAACGGGCTGCGCTATAAATTTGGTCATCTTCAGTTGTTGATTTCTCCAACTAATCTGCGTGAGAATAATTTTGTCAAAATTCATACTCAGAGAAAAATTTCCTAATATGTCGACCATATTTCAATCTCAGAATGTTTGCACTTCACGGAACTCGAATCAACTCCCATTTATCACTATCGTTCCGCGTTACATCATGAATATTTTACATATCAAACCATTGGAAGTGCAGAAAAAAAAACAAGATAACAATAAATACTTGAAGATTGACTATTCTTTTACGCGATTTGATGCGTTCATTTGCGACAAAATCATACTTGAGTACAAGAATATTTCTGGGGTCACGTGAGTGAGATGTCCCTGTGAATAAAGTGATTGAAGAAAAATTACTTGTCTCAAGTAAATACATTTCAGATATTAGAATTTTTCTCAGTGTACCCAATTAGTATCATCCAAACGACATTTTGCAAAATATAAATATTTTTTAAAACATTTTCTTCTCATGAATAAATAATGAAATTTGCTTACAAAATGGTCGATCATTTTCTACGAGAAACTAAGAACAGAAATTGAGATTCCGAATCTAATCGAGTTTTCTGAAAATTCTTCGGAGTTTTTCATAATCTTGAAATTTATCGTAAGAGTGGAGCGATTTTAGTAGAATCCCCCTCAATAATTAAAACCATCGATACCTATTTTTAGCTGGAAAGCTTGAGTCAACCGGAACTGGCATCACGACTGACTATGAACTGCGTGAGCAGTTATGTTCAACCTCATAAAATGGGCAATGTACCAGTAACGATAATTGACGTATTCGATGAATATGCATTGTCCAACGTTGTTAGAGAGGAAATGTACAAGTGTTATCCAAATGCTAAACTGGCACATTTGAAAAGTGGTGGCAATTTCCCGTACTTGAGTCGTTCTGCTGAAGTGAATTTGCACCTTCAGGTACCACTCCAACCTAAACTAAATAATTTCCTTACAAATTCATGACTCGACTCCCTATCCCATCCGCGTCATTCATACGTGGAGAGGAAAATTGAGGAAAAATATTACGGCCCGAAAAATAATCGTGGAATAAAATTTGATTTATGTTACTTTAATTCATCACACATTTCGCATTTTTTCCTTTGATGATATAGAGTGAACAAGACCTAGAACTCAATTTCACTCCCGAATTAATTCACTTTTTCAATAATTTTTCCACATTTTTCCCCGCATATTCATAAATTTATAAGACGGTTTAAGTGGACTTTGACTATTGGCCAGTTTTCAATCAATATCTCGAAATCTTAATAGAGGTAACAAAATTTTTGTCATAAACGTTTTTGTAGCCCTATATTCAGTCTGCGAATATTTCGTTATGTCCCTTAAATTCGGAGATATTCCTCGAAAACTCAGCTAAAGGTTAAATTGCTATGAATCGTTTTACCGTTTCGCTACTAAAATGCCTATGAAAACTTTGGAACGCCGAATGGATCAATAAATTTATACCCATTAATCATTGCATAAAACGTCTCTCCCCCAGATTCATCTCAGGCAATTCGAAGAGACTGAATACGCAGCGTCCAACAGAATTGAGCCAATTCCGGATACTGTGGTCACATAAGCCCTTCACAAAAATCAAACTTCAATGGAACTGCCCAAGCCAACATGCCAAGCAAGCTTCCTCCCCACATGGCATGCTGTCCCCTCGCCATGGAATGACAATACCAACCTGAATACCACCAATTGCTCCAACAATTGACGACGTATCCCAGGTCAGCTTCAAAACAGAAGCCTATAAACAATCCCAGCTGTCCATGACGAACGCAAGCAAAGCTATCAATACTCTGTTCATTATTTTTATACACACGCTATGTTACATTCCTGCGTGTAGCAATTTACTTTCCTAAGAAAAATGCCTAGTCGTTAATTCACAATGAGATGAATTTTGTTTATCACGAATGAGTTATTTTTTCAATTACAGAAAATTAATTCATCACTGAATATGTACATAAGTAATCAGTTATGCAATATGCATGTGTAAAGATTCTGCATGGACTTGAAAAATATACGCATATAATTTTTCTATTAAATCAGCGAAGCATTCTTGATTTTTTCCTTAATTCAGTAGATAAGTGATTAACCCCGGATATGCCGACTGGATTACATTGACTCGCTATTAAATTTATGAACCATCAAATGCAATTTGATTTCTTCGAAGGTTCTGATGGAATAACAAAATTTTCAATTTAAGATATGTCTGCTATTGTATGTAATAATAAGCACCAACTTCATCAAATAAATAGAGTTGAGATATTCGACAAAAATTGTCGGTCGAATCGATTCAGGTGTCCATCGATTCGTACGGGGATTAAACAGAATAAGTGAATTCCGTTTGAGAATTAGATTCCACGAAATATTTTTTTATCCAACAATGATAGTAAAAATTTATAACAACCTTGTCTCACTGTTAAACATTTTTAGCTGAAATTTCTGTTACACTTCTATATTATAGTTCTACTGAAATTTCAAAGAATTTCGTAATTGACAATTCCGAATTCAATGAGAAAACCATGGAAACTGTTAACTTCAGATCAATTATTGCAAGAAAATTAACGGAAATCACCATTCAGATAGAGAAATTCTTGAATTTTCAATAAATCGAAAATTGAGTGTAATTTAGTACTAAATATTCACGTTTTATTTGAAAATTCGCGTAAGTGGAGCAATTCTTGTCTAACCGCTGCTCAAACATTTGGAAATTCATTAAATTTTCAGTAGTAATACCACGAGTGTTCCAAAACTATCCGCTATTTTCCGATACCTTCGTTGCATAGGAAAGTCAAATTTTTATATCTCAAAAAACAAATGCAGAGCTAAAAGAAACTTTCCGAAATCAAACTTTTGAGCAGAATACTACATCCGAGAAAAAGAAATACTCAGTAAAATTTGAAATTTCATGATTTTCTCCACCTAATTTCGAATTTTTTCCCACCGGCGTTATAAACCTCCCACGCCCCCCAAAAAGTCCTTCACAAAAATGTCGCCATCTCTTCAAGACTCGGAGATACTAATTCACCCAATTAAATCACACAATTCCCTTCTACCTCCTCGCAAATAAATAAACAACCGCACACTGCTGTCTGATTAATATAATAAATGACATGGGATCCCCCATAGCGGTTAATGAACTCAGCACAACAGCCTGGGAGACCGTACAAGAACCAGGTATCGATTCCCTCAGGTTTGTCACTCGCATTTCTCCTCACGATCTCGCGTTACCACAGAGGGGAACACTCTTGCAGACTTGCGAAAGCCGTTTTCTTTGTGCCAGGCGCATCGTGATCTTTCCCGAGTCCACGTCGAATTAGAAACCTCCATCGTTTCCCCCCGAAAAAAGAACAACAATAATTCAGACGATCTTCCTCATTCGTTACACTGCAGGAATAGCCGTATACCAATAAGATTGCTATACCCCCACCTCGTTACTAATAAAAAGGTGACATTTGTAGTGGTGAGTCCTCACTTGTCACTTAAACAGTGCACAACGTTACAACCGACGAGCGCGAATGGAGAACCGGTTGCGAGGGAAATTTGTGACGCTTCTTCGTACGCAATAACGAGTGTAAGTTGTTAATTATAATTACCGCTCATTAGTTACGATTTCAACTGATGGAGATAAGAAAACGAAATTTAATCAACATCAATTATCCCCCTCCCCCCTATCGTCTGAGACTATTTCCAGCGGAGAAGACATTCAATTCGTGGTGAATGTCATCTGGCTGAAAGGAAGTCATCCGAATACTTTCAACAGTCAATTGGAATGACTTTGTTCCATTGATAAACCCAACTGCAGTAGTTGTAGATGTTTGGTGTTTAAACGCTTGACATTCTCTTATGCACCTGATAATTCAACTAATATTCACTAACAATGTCTCTGTTTACGCAGGTGAATGGCTGACACTGTATGATTCTGAAGGAAGTTTATTTCCTGTGGGCAACGCGAGCGATTCGATGGCGACGTGCAAAGAGAGGCATTGTCCATTTCATTGAGCAATTAACACCAAATTGTTTGAGGAAGATGACCCAGGAGGAGGAAAGCACTCCCCTCATCGAGGGGAGGATCTCCATGAGGACCAAATTGGCTTATTCCCTTGGGCACATTTTTAATGACTTGGCAGCCGCCATGTGGTTCTCCTACACTCTGATTTATCTTCAAAGAATTGCTCTTCTGGAGCCCATAACTGCTGGGGCTCTGCTACTCCTTGGTTAGTAATGCCTGATACCTTAGAATATTTGGAAATTGTGGTGTTCATTTCCGGGTAGTGATGGCGCGAGACACTTTACGAGACAAAACATTGGAGAGATGGTCGCGGTCTCAATGAACATGGACATCTTTGCTCTTGTCTCGCCTCGAAATACGCGGTATCGACTCCTCTCGTGATGACTCCAAGGCAATTTATCTCATCTCGGTCTCATGTTTTTCATGTTTTTTAATGTAAAATCTCGGCTTTTGTCTCGGTTTGTCTCGTATCGGTTTTCCAGATAAATTGACTCGCAGTCATCACGAAAGGAGTCGATACTACGTATTTCGAAACAGACGAGAGGAACGATTTCCATGTTCACTGAGACCGAGATCATCTCTCCAAAGTTCACTATTTCCATGTTTAATAAACATTGTTTATTCAATTCCGTGAATCAGGATCATGGAATAATTAAAAAAAAGACAATACTCCATTTATTGTCAATTCATTTATTCGAATTGACAATAAATTGAGTACTGGTGTTATTTTTCAGTGTTCAATGATATTGATTTAAAAAATAATCGAAGAATTAAGATTGATAGTGTTATCGTAGTGATTAGAGAGAACTCAGAAAACAATGTTTGCACTTTTGTTTTTTGTCCCTCCAAGGGCAATTGGTCGATGCTCTGATGACACCTGTATTTGGAGTCCTAGTGGACAGATACAGTAAGAAGAAAACATGGCACATAATTGGATCGGTTCTCGTGGCACTGTCATTCCCCGTGATCTTCGGAAGCTTCTTCGAGTCACTCAGTGGACTGTCAATGGCCATTTATGTGACCAGTATTACGATATTTCAGACTGGATGGGCAGCAGTTCAGATATCACACTTGTCAATGATACCAATGCTCACGCACTCGCCGTTGATCAGGGCTGATTTAACGGCAATACGGTAAATCAAAAGTAATCACGTGCCACGTAGCCGCACTGTAGGAAATACTATAAAACTTTTTTGTAGATATTCAGCGCAAGTTAGTGCTGCTGTGTTCGTCTTCCTCGTGACGTGGATAGTGTTACCGACGAATGACGAATCCATGGCGAAATTGAGCGAACAGGATGGTTACAAATTTCGAGTAAATTTTCAACTTCTTAGATCGTGAAAGAGATGTTCAATTGATTGAATGGTTTGGGTGACATCTGGAGACTCGAAATTATTGATATTGTTCGGTATAAAAGGAGAAAATGAATGTTTTTTGGGAATAAAGGAGGATTATTACAGACGACACATGAAGTTATTTCATGGTTGAAAACATTCTGAATTTTGAATAGAAAAAACTACGCTATTGAAATATTTGTTCTGCAGTGAAGCAGTAGGACGGTTTAAGTATCTCCTGCAGTTTGGTACAGACCACACTACAGATTCAACCATTTTCAATTATGAAATTTGCCAATTAAATTGCGTGAGAGAAATTTGAAAAAATCATGAATATTCAGCGTCATTCAAATTATTATATTTTGCACAGAATTATTCTTTGTTAAACATTTTTTGTTTATAAATAAATAATTGAAATTGTTTAAAATTTCGGAAGCCTAATTTTTTTAGGCAAGAAATCGATTTCTGGTAAAATTTTGAATAGGAGTAAATTTGTTATGCTTCAGAAGAAATGAGGTTTATAGTGGAAAATTGATTGTTTATAAATGGTTTGATTATTTCATCAATCTTCCTGCAAACGTAAACTTTAAAAATATTTTTTAACGGTGCAAACTTTAAATGATAAAATCATTGTCAAATGTCCGGAAACTTTGGGTCAAATGAAGCTCAAATGAAAGCTCTGATATTCGACTATAAAAATAGAAAAGCATTTCACTGAACACTTGAATATCCTTGAGTCCATTTCGTCGAAAGGTTGATTTTCGATGAATATCTCCGAATTTTTCGTCGAACAAAATGAGAGCTACAAAATAGGTTTTAACAAAACTTTCGTTATCTCTCCTAGATTCGGAGATCTCTTAAAAACTCAGCTAGGAGCTAAGTCGACATAAGCCTTTTGTCCGTTTCGCTATTACGGGAATTAAAAAAGTTTGAGCAACTTCAAGACGAGAATTTGACAATAAATTCTCAATTGATTGAAACCCCAGAGTATTTACCAGAATTTTTCTGAAATCTATTAATTACCACAGAATGCTTGCGTTGGAATCAGCGGTTTCCGCCGGCTTTCTCATCAAATTATAAATTTTCAATTTCAAATTCACAAAAAAAATATCAGTAGCGAAGCGGTAAACCGGGTCAAGTCGTTTTTTACTATTGGCTAGTTTTTGACGAATATCTCGGAATCTAACAGAGATAGAAAGATTTTTGTCATGACCTTTTTTGTAGAGCTAATAGAGCGCTATAAAAAAAGTCATGAGAAAAATGTTGCTATCTCTCTTAGATTCCGAGATATTCAGCAAAAACTGGCTAATAGCCAAAATCGACTTAACTCGGTTTACCGCTTCACTACTGATATCACTCTCGTAACAAATCAGACCCAATGATTTTCAATAAATACTGAATAATTCCACTATTCACCAGGAATTATTCATCTCGAATTATTCATTGTTCCAGGAACAATCCTATCTCCCAGATATCTCCCAAAATATTCGAAAACCGTACCAACAGATGTATCTCCCTACCTCAGTCTGATGTTTTATTGATGTTCACCCATTCTTATAGGATATAGTCGTCGTAATAACAGCCTTTGGTATAGCATCAACCGTGCTATTCCATGCATTTTTAAAGGCCAAACTTCTAGAAGTCGTTCCAGTGACCTCCCAGAAATCAGACAGCGAGGCGCCAGAGCGAAATGAGGCTGAAAGTAATCGCAGAAGATCTTGGATCGGTATTACCCTACTGTTGCGCGTCGCTTTGCTCTACGTAGCAAGTAGATTATTCATCACACTGGCGACAGTCTATCTACCGCTCTACATTGAGGAAACAGACGTCGGTGGAAAGCAGGCACTAGCGACTGTACCACTGGTGTCCTATCTAGCGTCATTCGCTGCTGCACTCACATTGAAATACATCAACAGATCCTGCGGCACCAAGGTGAACACTTCCCCCGTTTCCTCAGTTTTTTAATTAACTTTATCGTCTCCCTCCCCCATTAATTCTCTACTCCTGTTTAGAGGTGAATTTATTCTCCTCTTATCACTGAAAATACTTGATTTTCCCGTTCTCATTCCGTTCATCCCGCATTCTCCAAGCATAAGTATCGAAAATAAAGTACTTTTCTCGAGGGTAAATATTCCCTTGCAGATATGCTATCTTCTAGGCGCTCTAATTGGGATTCTGGGTGCTGCAGTCACCGAATACGCTGGAAGATATGAATTCATTGTATACGCAGTTGCTATTTTAATTGGTGCGGCCAGTTCAATTACCATGGTAACAGCACTGAGCGTCACCGCTGAGATCATTGGTCCCAGAACTGAAAATAGCGCACTCGTGTACTCCATTGTTACTTTTTTGGACAAAGTTGTAACTGGATTAGTCGTTGTGTTCATCGAACGCTGGTAAATTCATTCTCAGCCAGAAAACAACGAATAAGCAGCGAGTCTGCACTATTCCTAAACCGAGATTTCTAAACTTAAATTGTTTACAGGCGATGCGACGACAAAGAATTTTGCCCGAATTACAATCGCGATACATTAGCAGCAGTATGCGCTGGATCAATGCTACTGGGTCTCGCTACACTGATGTCCGTGGCCCGATGTTTATCCTCATGAAATTTTCGTAATCACTAACTTTTTGTCCACGACATTGAGAATAAAAATCCATTAAATTTGAATATTTACTTTTTCTTTTACAAGGGTGAAAGAGCCTTGACCTATCGATGGAGTGAGTGAGCTTGATGAAATTGGCTCAGAGATGTCGCCACTAATACGTATTTTTAAATTCACTGGTTCTGGTATGTCATCCATCAACAAGCGGGAACCAAAGCGCCATCCAGCGCCATTTCCCTGTGTGGCGGACGATGACCTGCCAGATTTGCGCGTTAAACATCTCTCAATACCCCAAAATAATCGAATAAACACCCGGTAGTTATCGAAGAACAGCTCAAAAAAATACACAAGTAAATTCGTGACAGGACTTCTCTCGCATTCTCCATTAAACTATACGTTAAAGTGTACAGAGTATTTAATTTTTGTGTATCAGTCCTTACGGAGCCACGAGGCGTCCGTGTGGTTTGTCCGTGGGAAAACTCGTTCCGGAAGGTGAGCCGGTGCGCAGTTGTACAATGCGCAGGTTCTTGTTTTGCCTCAATTCAGCGATGAGGGGAAAAAAGGAGGGGGAAAACGGAACACGGGGCATGGCGTGGTAGCGGCAGTCTAGTAAACAACTTGTGTGCGATTCGTGCGGGGAATCTCTTGTGTCCGTTTGTTATTGCCGTTTCGGAGTGTGTGAAGAGAAATAAAAAATAATAAATCGTCACTGAATAAACCGCAAAATTACAATCGCTAAATATTTATGAAATTGTGGAACCATGTGACAAGTTTTATAACCAAACATTGTGCTTTTATATTTTCACATTTTGTTTTTCTCATCTACTCCTTTTTGGTGAAATAGTGGGAGTATTTCTCTTGGGTTTTTTTTTATTAGTGTGTCGAGTGCTATGATATTTGAGTCATCGGGGCCGATTGAAATCGAGGCTAGTGAAAATTTTTCTTTCGGAGCAACGTGCGTCCATGGCACAGTGAGTAAATTCTCATAACAATTATTTATTCATTCTATTGTCTAGATCATACAGTAGTCCGCATTCTTCGATGTTTTTTTTCTCTCTCCAAACCGCTCTGAATGCATCTCCCTTATCCCCACCATCATCATCACTCTTTCTCTCTCACGACTCGTTTTCTGCCTTCTCTTTCCCTTCACTGTGTGTGTCCCTGTATCTACCCGACGTATACGACGTATTTTCGGAGCTCGCCGTGGCCCCGTGGTATGTCGCGGTCTCTGTTTTGAACGGGCTATCGACGGTGTCAGGCCAACACATTCACACACGCACACATTCTCTCTCAATTCCCTTGACATCGCCCCCTCCCTCCCTCCGCCGCTCTTCCATCGGTCTCACTCTGTCTCGTGTTTTTTTTTTTTTTCATTTTTTTGTCAATAAAAATTTCCTGAAGAAAATCAAGTTTCTGAGTTCGGGCGATACATCCAGAGAATCAAGCACAAAACGAAGCGGAGATAATGAAATCTTTCCTCTCCCCCTTTTGACCATTTACATTCATTTATGTATTCTTCTTTTTTTCATTTCTTTATCGTAAACAAATGAGCCCACCCGGTATGTTTGTTGCATACGTACAGTACGTTTGTATGTTTCTGTGCGAAGTACAGAGCGCTGAGATTTAGCTTGCGAAATCAAATGATGTCTCGGGGACGCGTCGCGCGCGCTCTTTTCACCACCAACAACACCAATATTCCCACCACCTTCGGCATCCACCATCATCATATCACCGTTACAGAAAATGTATCGTATTAATTGACGCTGTACTCTCTCTTTCCCCCATATTTGTGTTTATCTGTATCTGTCCCTGTCGCTTGCTCTCCTCTGACAGCACCCGAAAGTACAAAATACGGCTGCGGAGGAGAAGGACGGTCTACCAGTTGCTTTTGCTTTATTTTTCCCTTCAGCAGGCCGTGCGTCGTGTTTCGCTTTACCTCGTAAGATTCCGGGCGGCTGCGTCGCCGGTTCGAGGAACTTTCCCAACTGTTCCCGACGGAGGCGGAGCGCTCACGCGCTCTTTTGCGCAGTCGACAGCGTGCGGTTAAGTGCCGCTATCGATGCCAAGAGATCGATGCGCGCGCGCGCGCGCGCCACAGAGGGACTCCACTGTGTGGAAACCCTGGGGCTCACGTCAGGAAACCCTGAAGGCTCACGTCAGCGTCATTAGTGATTGCCGAGCAAGGCCTCGTAATGGTGATACACTGGGGAGGTATTCTGTGGGGCTCTCCAGTTCGACATCGTCCATTTCATATTGATGGCAAATTGAATTTGGCAGGGGAAGCGCAGGGCACGAGATTTTGGGGGGAGCGGGGGATGAA